AACGGTGGTTTGTTCTGTAGACTATCGAAAAAATATATAGCTTAAAAAGGCTAATGATTTTGACCTTCAAATTATTTAAAAAAATTTAAAACTGCTTTTATTCTAAAAAATAAATAAAAAAAATTAAAAAATAAGACTTTCTCCAGAAGAAAAAGTAATATTAGACATACTGTGAAATTTTCCATGGTCTATTAAACATCGTTTGGGAAATATTTAAAAAAGAAAAAAAATCAAAGAGGGGCTCGTAATTCTGACTACAACTGTATGTAAACATAATTACAAATGTATATGTACAGTGGACATGTACAATTCAAGATAAATTAGTGCAGTGTAGTGTAATTCAATGAATATGTGCAACTTTAAATGTGCAAATATTAAATAGTACAGTGATTATGGGGAGTATAAGTTATGAGGAGAGTGCGGGGTGTATGGGGGCCAAAACTTAAGTTAGTGTTGCTGTTTGAGCAACATTTAATGCCCAAAGCTCAATGCAAAGGTCAATTTTTTTACTGCCCACTTTCACACTGATGGGTGTTTTTAGCTTCTGTATTTTTATAAAAGGACATGGACATATCGAACACTGATGGGTGTTTTTAGCTTCTGTATTTTTATAAAAGGACATGGACATATCGAACACTGATGGGTGTTTTTAGCTTCTGTATTTTATATAAGGACATGGACATATCGATAGAAATGCTGAATTTCACTTTGCAGTCATTTTTATGAGATAAAACAGTTTCAATTAAATGTCATCATAATGTCCAATTAAATGTAATTGCAGCTTTTTGTTTACTAAAATTGACAAACAAACAAATAATTTATCAATATTAATAACAAAAATTAATTATAAAAATTCCTTACATTTATATAGCGATTTTCTGGACACTCAAAGCACTATACACATATAGGGGGGAATCTCCTCATCCAACACCAGTATGCAGCATTCGCCTGGATGATGCAACGGCAGCCATATTGCACCAGACCGCAGACCGCACACCACACAGAGTGATGAAGCTAAATATGATATGGGGGTGGTTAGGAGGCCATGATGGACAGAGGCCAGTGGGCAAATTTGACTAGGATGTAGGGGTTAAACCCCAAATCTTTTTCGAAAGACTTCCTGGGATTTTTAACGAACACAGAGAGTCGGGATCTTGGTTTAATATCTCTGAAAGACGGCACTCAAAGAGCAGTAGAGTCCCTGTCACTATACTGGGGCGTTAGACCCACACAGACTATAGTTTGGGTGCCCCCTGCTGGTTGCACTAACACCACTTCTGGCAGCAAACTAGCTTTCCCATGGGGACTCCCATCCAGGTACTGACCGGGTACAGGCCTGCTTCGCTTCAGCGGGCGACTATGTAAGAGTTGCAGAGAACAAGCTGCCGGTAGCACTTTAAAGTAACTTTAACAATCAACACTAAAAACAAAAAATAATAATAATAAAAGGATTACTTTTAAATTACAAATAAAACTCAAAATACTATTCTAAAAAGATTTAATAACTAATTAATATAAATCAGCATAATGTATAGGTTTTTAAAAACATTAAAAACTATAACAACCCTAATCTGATGACAAACGCAAGGTCATACATGCTTACTCTGGGTTTTAGCCATAGAAGATCTATTTCATGCTCAGCAGCATTCAACTGCATAATTGGTTTCATTCCTCTTCACTTTGACATAAGGTAATTATGTCTCTCTTATGTGGTTTAGGGCTTTTTAAGACCTGGTTATCATCGTTATCCCTTTAAATAACTTTTAATGAACGTTATCATTATTTAACTTACATTTGATAGTTGATAAATTCCAACTTATATACCGTAAAAAAGCATAAGTCCTGAATCAAATTAACCCAGAGTCAATTAAACTTATGTTAAACTGGCTTAAAACAGCTTGCATAGCTTATAAAATTAAGTTACAACATGATTAGCGTACTTTAATGAGTTACAATAAACTAAAAACATGCTTTCGTGATTTATTGATCATACACTCAGAAATAAAGGTACAGCTGTCACTGGAGCAGCACCTTTTCAAAGGATACATATTTGTACCTGAAGGGTCCATAATGGTACTTCAAAGGTACTTTATAGGTACATTTGGGCACAAAAATGCACCTTCGAGGTACCACTGTGGACTGTTTGGGTACAAATATGTATCTTTTGAAAAGGTACTGCCCCAATGGCAGCCCCTGTACCTTTATTTTTGAGAGTGTTTACTTTTTGTGCAGTGTAGGTATTTTGCATTTGTAAATGAAAAGTTTTATTGTAGCCTTTGTTCCTTTTTAATATTAATTTTTTCATTGCACTTATTTTGCAATGCAAATACAATGCATACCGCAATGAGAGAGAGAGAGAGAGAGAGAGAGAGAGAGAGAGAGAGAGAGAGAGAGAGAGAGAGAGAGAGAGAGAGAGAGAGAGAATTTACATTTCTTTTTCCAGCCCGATGGATTTGACAGGGTTAAGCATATCTCTCGTTCTTTGTTACCGTCTTGTACGCACAGGAACGGCTGCTTTCTGTTCGACAACAAAGGCAGCGGATTGCTTTGATAACCTCTGCTGCTGTGATATCTAATCTATTAAATGCACGCTGAAATGTGAGTTGCATGAAAAGCTGAGTGCGCGCGCGGAGCGGAAAGGGGAGGCGGTTTGACGGACTGCTTCACTCGAAACCTGCGTGTGTCGCTGGAGGCTCTGGAAAGAAAGCTCGAGGTGTAACTCAGGACAAGGGGAAGGTGGGGGGAAAAGAAAAGAAAGGCCATCACTCTTATCGAGGGCATAATCGGAAACGCTGTTTAACTTGGCGAGCTCTGCCGGATAACGCGCGAGCTGCTTCCTGACAGACTGCATATTCACAAATGACTGCTGCTAATGAGCATACTAATAATTTATGTTTATCAATACATTTGGCTGAGTGGGTACACAGCAGACATTTTTTCTTGATCGATAAAGAGAGTAGACAGAAGCTCAGCGTAAACTCCTGAGGAGAATCAAGCGATTAAATAAGCTGATAGTAGTGTTTTTGTTTAGCGCTGTGAGAGTGCGCATGCGCCACCTAGCGTTCACCACGAGGAAAAGCTCGTTTAAATCAAGGGTTTTTATTCATCCCTCTCTGTTGGATTTGTGAGAAGAGGCGCTGATTATTATGCTAATCAGCTCTCCGTTTTCTTTCCGTGGGGTTTATAAAGCATTTGAGATGCTGATGTAACATTCTTTTTCAAAGGATATCTAGTTATCTTCAGGACTGATGCTAGTAAAGGAATCTATGTCAGTGAAAGTGTGAAGAAATATAATAATAATAAGCAGACTGGAATTTTGCTTGCTTGGAAACTCAAACACAAACAATAATACATAGCAGGTTTAAACGACTTCAATATAAATGGTTAATGAGAATGTATATAACCCTGGATACGCTTTTTCTGCTAATATTCCAGATGTGTGCTAAATGTTTAGAGCACAGGTGTCAAACTCAGTTCCAAAAGGGCCGCAGCTCTGCACAGTTTAGTTCCAACCCTAATTAAACACACCTGATCAAACTAATTGAGTCCTTCAGGCTTGTTTGAAACCTACAGGTAAGTGTGTTGGAGCAGGGTTGGAACTAAACTGTGCAGGGCTTCGGCCCTCCAGGAATTGAGTTTGACACCCCTGGTTTAGAGAATAAAGGTATGATATCACTACCTCTGGAAATGTCCTAAAATACAAAAGTTTTGGAAAGCGATAATTGAGTGTATGTCACACATGTTTAATATTAAAATCTCTTTAAATGCCAAGCTCTGTATTCTTGGTTTATGGAATTTTTTGGAAAGACAAAAATTTTGGATTTTTATATTTATATAATTATATTAATTATATTATATTATTAATTATATTATATTAAATAGATTTTTATAATCATAATTTTCTTATTTTATTCATTTATTTTATTATTTGTTTTTTTGTGTGTCATTTGAATCTGTATGTGTATAATAGAAGGATGTGGATGTGTGCAGTTTTTTATGCTACATTTTTATTGTATGCCTCTGATGGTGGGGGGGAATCAATAATCATATTTATGGAAAAAAATAATAATGAAATATTATTCTTTTATTACGTTTATTTAGCAGCATTGTCTGCATGTGTACCTGTTTAAATCAAATAGTAGTAAAGAAGTAGCAGATGCAAGAGTTACAAATCGAAGTTTCTTAATGGGATAGTTCAGCCAAAAATGAAAATATACTCACCATTTCCTCTCCCTCAAGTAGTACTAAACCTTTGCATTTCTGCTTTCTGTTGAACACAAAAGAAAATATCTTGAAGAAAGCTGAAAACCTCTAACCATTGACACAGGGTGTCCACGGGGTCTTAACATGTCTTAAATTTCTAAAAGTACATTTTAGGCCTTACATTCACTGAAATATTGTGTTGTGTGTCTTAATTCATTTTAAACAGGTCTAATTTTCCTATGTCCTAGTAAAGCCCACATGTGAATGTCCGACATCCATCCAATTACCAACAATCCATTTTTAATAAAACTTTTTTTTTATTTAAGTTTATATTAAATATTTGTATTGCAAAGAGATGCAATTCACAATAGCTGTTAGACATGTCTCCCTTAAATCAGGGAAAGAAAACTAAAATTAAACAGTTCCTCGTGATAATAACAGAGCAATATATCCCTTTACATTGTCTTCCATTCATACAAAAATTATTACAAAAGTAAGAGGAGTAGACATAATATTTATAAATAGGCATGACACTTAAGGTTTTTTAACAAAAGGCATTAGGTTAAATAGAATTATACTCAATCAATTTGGCCCAAAAGCCAACGAATATATATGTTTGATTGTTTATGCAATTGCCTCCACAATAAATATGCCTTTAACATTGTTAAACTTAAGATTTGTTTTTAAAAAGTATGTCACTAAGAGATTATTACATTTAGTGCTAAGTAAAAAAAATCCATTGGCCCAACTAAGCCTTTAGAAATATATAGTGTTTAGTCCTGCACAAGTCAAAAATTTCATTCATAATGGTCTTAAAAGCATCTTAAATTTGACTGGATGAAACCTGCAGAACCCCTTCGATATCTGCATTTTAGGAAAAACAAATGTGGAAGTCAAACGTTGCTGGTTTCCATCTTTAAAATATCTTCATTTGTGTTTAACAGAAGAAAGAAACTCAGAAAGGTTTTGAACAAGTGAAAGGCAAGTAAAAGATGACATTATTCTCAGTTTTGGCTGAACTATCCATTTAATGGCAAACAGAATTTTCCACAGATGATTCTCAAGCACAACACAACCAACAAAAGCATCCAAAGCGGCTCTTCATTCCTGCTTGCACATACCCAAGCGCTGGATCAATATCCATTACCAGCACTAGTGCTGCAGACAAGCCATTCATTTCCACTGCAAAGCACCACGATATTCCCCCTGGGAAGCGGTTTCACCACCCTGCCTGCTACAAGCAAAGATGATTACACCAGATTCATGCTAGGAGTGTCTGTTAGTGCCTCAGATTACCTCTGCTTGTTCTCGAAGCGTGATATCAGCGATGCTAAGCACATGTAGTTAAAGATATAATTGAATTCACGCAACATAACAAACCCAGTAATTTCATTTGGTGTTTGTGTCTTCATGACGTGAAGCAGATCGTTGTGTTCTTGCCATGCCAGACTTGGAGCAGTTATCTCTTCACGTCTTCATAATGGTCTGTGATTAATGTTCCACTCCGGTTACGCATGAGTGCGAGGTGTTTTCAGGATTCGGATGGGAGTTTGGAGGGAAGAGGGTGGGGAGCATTTCTTCTGTGGGAATGGGGAATATGGGAATGCCTTAGCTGGACTGTTTCGGGCGGAGGGGTGCATTCAGACAAAGCCAACAAAAACAAACGTCCGCGGCTCTGGGAAGGCAGGGTCTGGTCTGAATCCTCGGTGGTTATTTACAGATGTTTACGACTTTGCTAGGGAAAGGAGCCCTGTCGGAACATGTGGGCTTGGTTGAGATGACCTTTTTAGCGGTGTCGGGTTACACTGAATGGCGTCACATCTTTGATCATGGTGAGATTATGCGTAGTTGGTTACATTTGTTTGTGTGGGTCAAGTGAAGGTGAGATCACGTCTGTGTGAAGAAGATGACGGCTGTTGTTTTGACTCATTTGAACTTTAAAACGTGGAAGTTTGTAACTGAGTGCAGGTTTAGTAATCCTCTTTGTTTTTTTGTCTGTTTTAGGATCAAGGGCCAGGAATGGTACCTCATCTTCAGGAGCCTCCGTCAGCAGTGCCACGGCAGCCCCAGGGCAGCAACTACAACATGATGCTGAAGAATCAACTAATAAACAAACAGCTTCAACAGCAACAAGTCAGTGTTCAAACTTCACGTTGAATGCCTCGTGCTGTTTTTGATGCTTTGGTGTCTGAATGGCCATTTGTTTTGCACCTACTTGTGGAGTAGAATTAGCTTGCTTGAATTAAGTTAATGTGTTGTTGTTTGATTCTTAAAGGAAAAGCAAAGGCAACTGGAGCAAATGAATGGAGGGCATATCACAGACTGCCAACAGGTGGCACCATTTCAAGGTACAGAAAAATCACTCCACCTACAACTAGTCATTTTCCATAAACGTTTAGTGAACACTGAGTCTCATTCTTTATTTTTGCATTAAATCTGCATACATTTTCCTTTGGAAAAAGTTTTTTTTTTTTGGAATGAACTGAAAACATACAAGCTTAATGCACAGGGAGCATTCATAACAAATTGTTGTAAGTTTCTTTATATATATATATATATATATATATATAATTAATTAGACATGTAAACACTGACTCTAAATGTTACAAATAACTAATAATAAATTAAAGCCTAGAAGCCTAGAAATATTAATATTATTTCACAGTGGCTATAAAGAATGTGAGTGTCACTTAATGACAGGCACAGATTGGGAATTCAGAAGCCCCTGAGCACAATGTCCTGTAGGCCCCCTACCTAGTCGCACCTCTATAGTTGAATTAGAAAATTAATTAAGGGTAATATAATATTTTTTTAATAAAATGAATCTATAATGTATTGCCCACTTTTTTTAAAATAAATGAAATACAGTACATATATTTCTAGTCTACAAAGATTTAACTTATTTTTAAAGCATTTAAAGCAAACTTTGAAAAAAAAAATCCTAATACAATTAGTGAAAATTAATGGATTTTAATATACTTGTTTCAGTTCACTAAAACAGTACTACAAATTCATATTTAAGGGTATTTTTAATGTATATCTTCTACTAACTTGTAATGCATATGATTTGGATAGAACACCTTTCCAATCCAGTTCTATAAAATCAGAGTCCTCCATAATACAAACACTTGCCTATTTGTCTTCCTCGTGATGAAGAGTAGGCAAAATCTGATATGTAGTGGGGGAAAAAAAGAAGAATGTGTTCATCAGACACTGGATTCGAACCGGGTTCATGATCAATTGATCGATGTAGCCGTGCGCTTAACGAGCTACTCCACACGCGTCGCTGTTTGTTGCACTCTTTAGTTATGTTGTCTCTGTCAATCAAACAATGATTGGCGTGAATCACTTAGCTAGTTTATTCCCACGAGGTGCCACTTAGCCTAAACAGACACTCCCCAACCCAAGTGCCCCAAGTGTGCATGGGTGTGCCCATAGTGCTCATTGGTTAATCCGGCCATGCATATTGACAATAGAATTAAACAACATATCTGTGTCAGTAAACCAGTTATTAACTAGTAATGTCCAGTGTCAGTTATATAAAAAATGGTAGGTTGTTTCAACCCAAATTTGGGTAAATTATGGACAAACCCAATGATTGTGTTAATTTTGCAAATTACATTTTTATCCCATTGCTTTGGTAGGTCTCAGATTTGAGTTAAAACATTCATTAATTAATTTTCTTGTCGGCTTAGTCCATTTATTAATCTGGGGTCGCCACAGCGGAATGAACCCCCAACTTATCCAGCAAGTTTTCCAGCCGCAACCCATCTCTGGGAAACACACGCATTCGCACACACACTCATATACTACGAACAATTTAGCCTAACCAATTCACCTGTACCGCATGTATTTGGACTGTGGGGGAAACCGGAGCACCCGGAGGTAACCCACGCGAAGGCTGGGAGAACATGCAAACTCCACACAGAAACGCCAACTGAGCCGAGGTTCGAACCAGCGACCCAGCGACCTTCTTGCTGTGAGGCGACAGCACTACCTACTGCACCACTGCCTCGCCCCTGAGTTAAAACAATCTGTCATTTTTATAGAGTGAGCAGCTGCAGTCGTGGTGTGATTTTAAATTAATTAATTCATGCGTTAATTACTTTTTGTTCTGTCTTGCAGGTCCAGGTCGACCGCTTCCTCCAGAGTGTTACCCTATGGGGGCTCCTCAACAGCCAAATTCTGCCATGCTTTCCCATAGCGGCCCTTTACCCACAAACCGAATGGGTTTGTCCTCCGGCTCGGTGTCCCAGATGGGCCCATCAGTAGGAGTGTACATGTGCAGCAAAGGCTCAAAACAGCCCCTCTGCCACCCGTCACAAGACTTTGGGATGACGATGCAGCCGGGCCAGGGCATGATGGGAATGGGTGGCCCTCCACGTCAGCCACTACACCCAGCTCATGCAGTAACCCGACCAGGAATGCCGTGTCCAACCCTTGCAGGTGGTCCTGTGCCGACCCACCACTTACGTCAGGCACTGCACCAAGGTGGAGCTCTTCCGTCACGTATGATGTTCCCTTCACAGCAGCAGTCAGCATCACAGTCTCAGCTCTGGCAGCACCAACAAGGAGTGCAAGCACATATGGACCCTGCGACTCACCAACACCCCTTCCCCGCAGGAGGAGCTCCACCGGGATGTGGCGGTCCTCAGTTTCCACAGAGGTCTGGAATGGCAGGTTTGCCAGCCAACTTCCCTGGCTCCCGTCCTCCTCCTAATCAGGTAGTCCCTGGTTTGGTTGGTCGACCGGAGCAGAAGATGCCCACCGCCCAGCCTCTATCCTCCATGTCCCAACAGAGTCTCAGAATGAGAGGTCCGCTCTCCTCTCTTGCCATCATGAAGCCAGGAGGTCCATCCATGATGCACCCAGCTCATGGCATGGCCCCTCCCAGCTATCAGACTGCTTCTGCTGGGAAGCACTGTTTACCGCAGGGCTACAACCCCGGACACAAGCTGCCCTCCTATGACTACACACCACAGCATCAGAGCAATGGGGCAATGCCCGGCGGGTTACAAGGCCCCGGAGGAGGTGGAGGTGGGGAGGTGGACTTCATAGACACTCTGGTGGGCAACAATGAAGACTGGCTGAACAATCTCACCATGATTGATGAATATCTTGAGCAAAATCATAGGGACTGATCAAGGGCTTCCTAGGTTTGAAAATCACTACACACAGTGCCCACACGGGGGCGTCACTCTGTAAAGGTGCATTCACACCAAGAACAATAACTATGATGGCAACTATATGGCGTCCACACCAGAAGACAACAGAATGTCCATGTAATTTGTAAGGTGAATGCTGAAACAGAAAGAGTCCATGGTACTGCACGTGTCAAACTTGTCCATCCAGTTGAGTATTCTTTGAAAGCTGTGCAGACACTGCTGTGTGTGGGACAGCAGGATGGGGGAAATGTGTGATGCACAGGCTTGACATTTAAAGGCAATTTATACTTCTGTGTCGAGTCCTTACAGTAGCTCACACTGTCGCATGCCCTTTGTCATACCCTAATTCTGTGTTCACACCAGATGCGGAATGTGTGCATAAATCACGCTATTTAAGCGTAAAAAGACGCATGAACATTTTGAGTTTATTCGCTTCATTCGCGCATCAAACTCGCTTCACAACAGCGGATTCGGCGTCATGATCGGGGATTCTGTCTGCCTGTTAAATTTAGCTTTGTTGTTAAATGGCTAACATGGATTTTATTGAGAGAGTAGCTGTGCTTTAGGAAGGATGAAAACAGCGTAGATTTGTTTGGCGCCATGTCTGAGTCCATTAGATCCATTTAGAGGTGCACCCAGCACTGTGAGTTCATAAACTTCTTTAGAAACTATACCTGGATGATGGAGCTTTCAACAGTGCTTCCGACAAAGCCGAGCCCAGTTTAATTGAGCTGTTGTCCGGTGTCGGCAAAAGGATTTTCCCTCAGGACACCAACAACAGACACTACGTCATAATCACGGCCCTACAAAAGAAAGCTTTTGATTGTTTAACGCGGCGCGAATGTCCGCTGAAGTTCAAATTTTACAACTTGAGCGATTGATCTGTAATGTGCAATACACATATTAAGCACAACAAACAAACAAAATGCTCAACTTGTGCCATTTCATTCACGCGAAACTGCTGCAGAATGTCTGTTCACGTTTTTGCATTGACTTAACATGTAAATCACTCGCGCTTGACGCTTCATCTGCATCTGGTGTGAACGCAGCATAAAGGCTCGTACACGCTGGGATGTTTTTCATTTGCGTTTATCTTCAGCGTTTTATGAGACGTTTTTCCGGATTCAAACCCAAGCGATTTTCACTGGCGTCAAGCAGAAGAGTATGCAAAATCACTCCTTGACGTTAAATGGCGCTAAACAACTTTAAGCTTCTGACACCCCACTTATAACACAGAAGAAGAGGAAGAGAGGAAGTTCACATGCTTGTTGTTAAAGTTACTGGTGATACGAACAAGCACGGATGGTTCAAGTAGCAAGTAGCGATGAAAAAATAATTATTGTTCACCAGTGCAATAAGCAGCTCCACGTTCATTTCGCCTCTGGGCTTCTTCTTCAATGTGCGCTCGCATTCACAGTTTTATACTTGAGCGTCTCCGAGTGCCGTTTACCGTAACTTCAGCAGCTCCGTGTACGTGAACAAAAGTGCCAACCTGATTGGAGGAGAAGGTTTTGACACGGCAAGTTAAAACAAAAACAAAAAATGAGCATGAGGCATTTCTTTAAAAATTAGGCTTTTACGCCTTGCGTTTTGTGCGTAGGTGTGCACGATCACATTGGGGCCTTTTATTTAGACAGGAGGCGCTAAACGTCGACGGAAAACGTGAGCAAAAAGCATCCCGGTGTGCACAGGCCTTAAGGCAGACCCTGATATGCATCTCTCAAAAAATTGTTACTACACGTCACAATGATGCAGAGCGTGATTTGTGATTGGCCATCTTGGTAGTGCTGACAAGTGTGGGCGGAGCTAAGAGCCATGATAGCAAAAGGAGGCTAGTTGCACGAGTACTTAACAAGCGACTTTTTGCATTTATTTTGTGACTAAAATGTGAGTTTGAGCTACAGTAGCATTGCATTAATTTCCAGTATGGAATCTCCACTGCATACTAGTGTTTTGGAAGTGCTATTGCAGAGCAACATGGACAGAATGCAGAAGTATAAATGCACACTACTGCTGCTTACAAGGTATGGGGCGTGGGGTAGAGTCATCACTCTGCGCAGAAGTATAAATGTTCAATGGTTTTAACGTAAAACAAAACAAATTAAATGGTTTGATTTAGAAGACTTATTCCCACTATGTTGTGCATTACACTTTCTCCCATTCATATTACAATGAATGTACCGTCAAGGTGCAAGCTGTTTAACCTTCAGAGGATTCTGATCGGCAGGATTGTAAGAATGTTACCAATCACATTACATTCCCACATCACAGTATATACTTCAGGATGCTTATAAAGTTTATAGTTATCATCATAGTTATGGTGTTTGGTGTGAACAGGTCTTAAAGTCCCCCAAGTGTTCTGGTCATGGTTAGCATTACTGATAATGTGTTGGTGGAAATGATGCACTGCTAAGCCTCACGAAATGCCATCATTAAACAGGCTAATGTTATAAGATGCCCTTTTCTTTTCTCAATTGTTGCTCTTCAAGTGCTCTTTGCGCTACAAACAGATGATATTGTGGTCATCATTAAATTAAAATGGAGTAAAACACTGATTTTGGAAAGAATGGGCTTTCCCTGGCAGTGTAAACAAGTTCTCAGTCGATTAAAGATATATTTCACACGACAAAAACAAACATTCTGTCATTGTTTACTTGCCTTTATGTCCTCTTGGCTGAAACACATTTTGAAGAGCTGTGTTTAACCATGAATTTAATGTTAATGGAGTCTGACAATATTGATTTTAGGTGAGTAAATGATGACAGAATTGTAATTTATTTTTGGGTAAGCTATTCTCTGAATGCAAAAGATCACAGTATTGTTGGCAGGCTCGTTCCAGACCAGGCAAACATCTGCAACGTCTCATTCCTGCTATTTGAAAAGCATCTCAGATCATTTCCGTGATGGACTGTTTGAGGGTATTTCAAAAGGGGGTCTCGCCCTGTACATAAAGTATTTTGTAAAATATGGTTTCTTAAAGTGTAACATACAAAAAAAAAAAGAGAAGTACACATATTTATGCTTCTTTTCTGCTGACGGATTTCTTTGTAAATACTTACCAAAAGAGTAAATAAAACAAGAATTCAATGATGTAAAGAAATGTGTGTCACGTTGAAATTGCGAATGAAATATTTTACACTAGGAAACTCTATTGTAATTTGTATTATGCAAGACAGTATGGTTAGTCGTGAAGTAATACTATGTATTACAAAGGAGAAAAAACGTTATGTTTTTGACATAACTGGACTTCTGGTACTCCAGTCTGGCTTAAGAGGGGTTTTGTTTGGTCTTTTTAAATTGTAACGTTTGGAGTATAACGATTCTCAACATTTCATTCAGACATTAGAGCTTCTCTATCTTGTGTCATATTGCCATAGCATAATACATTTTACATTAGACACCAGTGTCCATGTAATAATGATCTGTTCCCTCTTACAAAATGAGGAGATCTTAAAGATCTTGATGTTTTCTGGACCAAGGACACTTTTCAGCAATTCTGGGAATGTTTTTTGTAAGTGCACACCAGCTACACTGAAACAGCAGCCTCGATGTAGCAGAGGGATGAAAGTATATGATCACACCACCTATAATGTAATACAAGAGCAACACCTGTCACAGCAAGTGCAGAAAAAACCCACAGTCCTTTGTGCCAGAGTCTTGGGTTTCCAGTAGTTCATGACCATGTAGTTGATGCCATGAACTTTAAGACATTCTGATTCGTGATTAATTGTGATTTATTATATTTTGTCTTCATATTTTTAGATTGGGAAATAAACTGTATAAAATCGAAAAATGTCTCTTTTTTTGGTGTATATTTTGTTCTTGCTGTATATTGTAGTTGTGTTTCCACTGGTGCTGTGACTGAAATATATAACTATGAAGAAAAATAGTAGCATCACACCTCATTTAGCTTTATGATAAAAATTGAGTTCCACACAATTCCTTCATGTTGTTTCAACCCAATTTGATTGTCAACCAAATCGTTAGATATTGAAGTGGATTGATAAATCAAAATGAAGTTGTTCTCATTTAGCATCACGATGGCTGCAAAAATTGCAAAAAAACACCAGCTACACTGAAACAGCAGCCTCGGTGTAGCACAGAGATGACAGAAAAAAATTATTCAAAGATGATTCCTTGGATTGAAAAAATTTATGTTAACTGGTTTTAGACAATTAGTCTGGATTTAAACAAAGAAATTAAGTTGAACATTACTAAATTTAATTTGTTTGTTTAAATTCAACCCATATACATTGTTTGCAACCATTTTGCAGACATCATTTTTTTCACCACCTATAACGTTACATACGAGCAACACTTGTACAGAAAAAAGTGGATTGAACTTAAAACAATGAAGAAAAAAAAACATAAAAATTGTATTGGTTCAAGACATATTAAAGAAGTAGTTTGAACAAGAAGCAAAAGTTTTTATAGTAAATGAACAATATCCTTCTGAGACTCCACCCATTGACTTGTATCCTCTGTAGTGGAAATTGTGTTTTCATAAAATTTCTTCGAATTTTTTATTTATTTATTTTTTTGAGCCACTCTGTCAAGTCCTATTGTACTGTTCAGAGGACATCCTGGGCTTTCTAGCGTCATTGGTTGGCGGTTCATTCCATAGTGGCAACCCTGGGTTAATAAAGGGACTAAGCCAAAAAGAAAATAAAGAAATGAAACTGGAACAAAACCAGTTATTTATGTAGCATTAGATAAGATGGTAACAGAGTGATTAATGTCGAGCTGCAGCTTAAAACCCGGAATTAGTGCAAACTACACTGAAACTTAACTGGCTAGCGAGCTCATCTGGATTCATGGTACAGGCCCCTGGGGAATATTCCAGAAAGCAGGTTATGTGACATACCAGGGTAAGTTTAAGAATAAGTTGATAACCTCAACTTTTGGTTCCAAAAAAACAGATGTAACTTATGCACATAACCTGTAGTTCAGGTTTAGTTCACTACTACAGTATGTGTGCATGTGTTTCTTCGGCTTAGTCCCTTTATTCATCAGGGGTTGCCAAAGCGGAATGAACCACCAACTTATCCCGCATATGTTTTACACAGCGTATGCCCTACCAGCCGCAGCCCAGTACTGGGAAACATCTATACACACTCATTCACACGTACACATACAGCCAATTTAGCTCATTCAATTCACCTATAGCGCATGTCTTTGAACTGTGGGGGAAATCGAAGCACCCGGAGGAAACCCAAAGACTCGAACCAGCAACCTTTTTTGTGACGACAGTGCTAACCGAGCCACTGTGTCGCCCCTGTTTCTTATATTTCTTTTATGTATTTTTGTAAATTCTTGATGAAATGCTATTATACTCAAAAAGTGACGTTTGCTGTTTGCTCAAACTACTTATTTAAAATGAGCTGAAACATAATTTTGAGGGTTTTTTGTGACAATTGTTTTATGTTAAATCCACTTAAATGTATAAAATAAGTTAACTTAATTCCTTCATGTTGTCCCAACACAAATCGATTGTGTGAAATCCAGCTTTTTTACAGAGTATAAAATAATGTTTGCATGTTCCATTATTTGTCTCGTTTAATTTCGTCTTGCATAGTGAATCTACTTTTGTTTTTGTTTTTTTTTCTGTTTTTCGTAACAGGACGCATTAAATATATTCCTTACATAACCAGCCAGCCCTTTTATAATATAAACATATATAATTCATCAAGCATGGAAGGTTTAAAGCAGGGGTGGGCAAACTCGGTCCTGGAGGGCCGGTGTCCTGCGCAGTTTAACTCCAACTCTAATCAAACACACCTGCTTATAGATTTCTAGCGATCTTGAAGACACTGATTGGCATGTTCAGGTGTGTTTGATTAGAGTTGGAGCTAAACTATGCAGGACACCGGCCCTCCAGGACCGAGTTTGCCCACCCCTGATTTAGAGTGTACTTTATCTTTTTGTGTAACGTCCTATAGAAAGTATAATTCTTGTTCACAACCAAAAGGTGAAGATTGATATTATAAAATAATGTACCAATAGGGGGTGATAGGCACTAAGAATGTAACTTGCAATTCTGTTGACAATGCTTTTTAATTTTATGGTTAAGCTGACTGAACTCTCTTATAGAAGCAAGTTTGAAACTGACATACCTTGAGTATGCAAGTTTAGCTTTAAGAAACTCAGAGTTCAGGGCTTATCAGATGATAAGTTAACCTTGCTTTCTGGAATACACCCTTGGGGCCTGTACCATGAAGCAGGTTTAGCAGGTTAACCTGTTAAGGTTCAATAGCTTGCACCGATCCTGGGTTTTTGGTACCATTATGTTAGCTGGGTTTTAACCACTAGTCTATTAATAATGAACAAAATTATAAATATATTTACAGGATTCATCTAACCCTAGATTGCATCCATAGAATATTTCCCAATTGTTCTCATTTATGTTTTGGCAATGCAACAAAATCAAACTGTTTCCATGGACTGTTTCTAAAAAATAATTGTAAAGACTTTTGCTTTGTCCCTAAAGCTATACCTTCTGAATTGTACAGTGGAACTGTGCCTTGATCGTGATAAAGAATATATATATATATATATATATATATATATATATATATATATATATAAATATATATAAATAAATAATGTAATATATTTGTAACGCCGGGGGTGACACACACAACTGGAGGTAAGATCCAATATGCAGGTTTATTCAGTGTCAAGAAAGCAATGGTCAAATCAGGAGTAAACAGGTATGTGTAGGCAAATCCAGAGTCGTAATCAATGTGCAGGCAATAGGTCGTAAAGCAGGCGGCTAAACAGGATAACAAAGATATATAAGGCTAGGGTCTAAAATACGGAGAAACAAGACAAGGAGAAACACGTTGTAATGTCACTAGAAGCAAACAAGACTCGGCAAACATGGGTGAATGAGTGGCTTATGTAGGGTGTCTAATCAGTCTCTGAAAGTCCTCAGGTGTGCGAATGTAATCAGTCTAGATGAATGAGCAGGCGTGAGTGTGACCAGAGAGCATGTGTGCATATGTAGTCCAATAGAAAACGAAAGTGTAGTCTATGGATATGTGAGAGAACCAGCGATCTCTGGAGAATGATCGCTGGTTATCGTGATAATATTTATTACTAATCCCTAAATTAGCAATTACATTAAAATATTAACCATGAACTTTAACATATAAAGCTTTTAAAATGAGCCATGAGCTGTTTGTGAATTATTACATTTTTTTCTTAAATATTGTTTATTCTTCATCTGAGAAATGAACTGCACTGACTTTATCAGGTGAACTGCAGCAAACTATTCTTTCGTTTCTCGTGTGATTGGCCGTTTGTTGCACATTATTTGATCTTATTTTATTTTGATTGTTATGATTTATCTTTATAAAGAGATTTATTACACCTTTGGGTGCAAGAAAAGAGTAACGCAAAAAGTGTTTCACTTTCCTCTGATGACTTTTGATTCCTGTTGGCTTGTTTTACAACACAATGTTCACTAAGTTTTAATGAACATCCCAGTTTCACTTCCTTCACTGTAGCTTTTAGTGTGGTAAATAAGATAAAACATTTCTTATGTCTGGAAATCAAAAGAGAATAGTCAAATAATCAGCAAATCAAATAAAGGTTCTTTGAATTACAAGTCCAAAAATTAAGTTTTGTGTTTAATTATTTATTTATTTATTTATTTTATTTGTTTGTACATTTATTTTATTCTTTTCTATTCTATTCTACTCTACTCTATTTTATTTTATTTTATTTTATTTTATTTTATTTTATTTTATTTTATTTTATTTTATTTTATTTATTTATTTATTTATTTATTTATTTTATTTTAGCTTAGTTTTGTTTAATCCATTTTTATACTTCATCTAGCAAGAATGTTTTTTTTTTTATTTTGTTTCTGACAGTTTTACTTTGACTTTTTTAAATGAAAACTATTTTTTTTTGTATGCATATGCATTCAGCATAAAACAACTATCAAAATCAAAAAATAATTTTTAATATTTAGAAATTTAGGAGATACTGCATATGCAATTATGTCTTTTTTTTCTTTTGAACTCCTTGTGAATAGATAAATATTAATAGCAATTCATTTGACACAGTTCCTGTTATTGGGGTTTTATGGTTTTGCTTGTTTCATTTTTAGATCAGCTTGTTTTGCTTCCTTAGTGTCAGCACTGTTTCAAGCAGTTGAACATCAGAGCTATTATTACACAACAAAAGCTCAGGTCAAATCAAACTTGAAAAATCAAAAAGAATGAAAAAAATATAAAACCATGCCTTCTCTTGCACAATCTGCATGGACAAAGTGATATGAAGAATCTGCCAGAAGTGGAAGAGAGAAAGAGCACATTTATATTATGAATGCTACCACTTTACTGTTTTAAATATATACACAACTTAATATTCGGGAAAAGTGTAGTACTGTGTTAAATAATAATGAAAATGAGTTGTTTTACCTCAAATTTCAGCCAAACAAACAAATCTAAACATTATTTTTTACATTGTAACATTAACCCAGTGGTTGGGTTTGTCTGTATTTGAAACGATACAGCATAAGGGTTGTACTAATTAAATATTGTGAGAGGAGTGGAAGCGATAGTTGACCCAAAAATAAAAGTTCTGCCATCCACTTAATATTAATTTAATTAATTTGTTCCAAACCTGCCTGAGTTTCATTCTTCTGTTGAACACAAAGCAATACATGCTGAAGAATGCTGGAAAAACATTTCCATAGACTTCCATTTTTGTTCACTTTAAGACAATGACCCAACGTTCTCCTTACTGTTCTTTAATACCTCTTTCTTATGTTTAACAAAGAGG